GGCGAACAGAAACTGAGAAATAATAGACATAATTTTTGCTCAGTGGATTAAACCCTTCCCTGAATCACTTGGGTGGCCTGGATAAGAGAAAATACACTGGTATTCTTGTGCCAGTCCTTGTGCCAGTCCTTCCCCTTCCAGGGAAAGGGGCTGGAAAGAGGTGTGGATGTGCATGGTGAGGGACAATACCTTTGTTCAGATAAATTGCCCTTCTTCTAGGTGTCATGGGGTTCAGTATAATCCTTCCTCACAGACAACTGTGTTACTCTGAAAGGTTAATAACTACAAAGATAACTCAAGCTTCCGCTGTACTACCTGCCACTGGGGCTCACAACTTTTCAGTGAAAACAGAGCTAGAAATGTGTCCAGTAGACCCAGAGTTTGTCAGGGCACAGATAGTGAGTCTGCAGCTCTTTGCTGCAGGGGAGGAAGGAGAAAGGGAGGTTTTCTGGGTGCCTTTGTGGTATGAAGTCTTTGGGACACAGGTATCCTAACTGTTGTAGAGTGAAACCCTCTTTTAGGATACTTTCTATAGAAAGTACCAGCTGGTGCAAATGGCCCAGACTGGTCTAGTAAGGCATGCAGGATGTTCACCGGGGAGCTAGCAAAGACATGGCTATAATTCTGACAGGCAAAGAACTGAATGTGTCCTTCACTGTAGCAAGGACTAGAGAGGAGGAAACAGGCACCCCACAGACACTGTGGTCCACACCATCATTTAAAAAATAGCAGTGACCAGATCTGGCTTCAGTAACTAGCCTGTGTTCGCATCCATGAGGCCCATAGGTAGAAGAAAACTGTTCAGGTTCGGGTGTAGGACCAAACCCAAGTTTTCAGCCCTGGAAATACTGAGCTACATATAGGCGTCTGAGATACTGAGATATGTAGAAGTGTCTGCCTGTGTGCAAGCAACTTGCAAACTGAAACCAGAGTTTCAGCTCTTCCTGGATTAACATAGAGCTAATCTCGATTTTTTGATATAAGTACCTGAAATGAAACTTAGTCTTTAGTCAGAAAAAAGGTACTTGATCTTTTTGTTTGCTTGTTTGTAACAGCAGGCAGAAAATCATCATTTGACTCTATCCACATCAACCCTGAGGCTACCCCAGAGCCAGATTGAGCTGGGCAGATCAGTTGTGGATCAACAGTTTGGTGGGATGTTTCACCTGAGTGAGCACACAGTGACAGCTTCACCAAATGCTGTTGCATTGTGTGACAAATACAGTCCCATAATTATGATTATCTTCATGCCAGCTGCAGGATAAGGGCACACAGGACACTTTGCATCGCTCAGCTGACCCAGAGGCCTGTTCAGCTAAGCAGACTAATGTGTGCCAGAAGCATATGCTGTATAGGGTTTAGCAAACACACCAGACAGATCACTTGGGTACCTAAAAACTTATCTCTGCACACACCTTCCAGTTAATTAAGCTACTTTTATTGATAAATCACTGAGCTGTCTTTGAAACAAATTAGGCAATGCTTTCTCTCCAGCATAATGCAGGGTACCATTGTCAGTGGAGACATATCAAGAGGTTGCATAAAAGGTTCCTGCATCTCAAGAGCTTCAGGACTGTTTCTGCACCTTATGCTTATGCCTGAAGCTTCCTTTCATGCTCCACATGACAGGAACATGGCATGGCTATTCTGAAAGCATTTGCACCAGTCTCTCTTCAGAAGGTCCTTTTGCTGCGATGAGAAGCACTCTGGTGTTTTATTTTTCAGGAGAGCTCAGAGCTGCCTGAGAGAGATTTCTGTTGAACCTCCAAGGAAAACTAAACCTGCCCTTTCAGTGACTGCCTCTTGCCTGAACATTAACTTTACCTTGCAAAGCACAAGGCAGACCTGAGCTGCTGGGTAAACCAGGGAAACTTTCCCGGGCTGTCCTTGGGGTGCATACTATATGGGTAGCTTTTTCCTTTTGGACCATTTCTATAGAACCCAGAAACCCATGAGAAATAAAATAATGGCCATGTATCCCCTTCCTTCCTTTCATTAGTTTGCCAAAGCCACATGAATTAAAGAACACTAACAAAAAAGTACATAGGTGAAAATCTACCGGCACACACACATACAACACAGATAGAAAAAAGAGGTTTCCTGCTTGCCAAGATGAGAAACATGCTTGGGATGATAAGGATGACTGCAAGCTGCAGAATATGGTGGCTGTACTATGGAGTTTGTAATTGTAAGTGGCCTTTCCATTTCGGGTGTCACTGTGCTAAATTAAAAACCTACAAGAAAGCATTTAATTTAGGTTAATGGGATGTTTGAATGTTAAATGGGTAAAGGAAAATGATTGTTTTTTCTTTCAAAGAGGAATTGGATCCACTAATATCCCAGGCTGTATTCCTAGAAGGTGTAAATCAGTGTTAAACACCATATTTCAAGGGAGCCTGCTTGGTTTTTCCCTAGACAAAAGAGTCTGTCCCATTTTACTTTTTCATGTGCATATCTGTGAACCATGTGCTTAGGTTAAGTTTATTCTGCCTGTCTTTTTTTTTTTTTTTTAACCTCTCATTTTAAGGTTTAATGATGAAATTATATCATTCCTTTCTTTCTCTGTTCATTTCCAGGCCATTAACGATATCCTCCTGCTTTTCAGGTTCTACAAGCAGAAGGAAAAACTTCCTTTATGCATAGGGGATATGGGGATGATACCCTGATATCAGGGGGAGGGGATGCTGGGAGAGCATGGTTTGGAATTACAACATTTAGAGCTATGCTTTAGTAAAAATTTAGGAGGAAAATGTCTTTCAGCAGAGCTTTTTTTTGAAAATTTACATTTGAAATATTTGGTGGACAGTTAGTCTCCACAGCATGAAAAATATGCAGTGGGAAAATGTTCCTACTGCTTAAAATCAAAATCATATTTTTTTCATCAAGGAAATACTTTGTTCCATCTCAGAAAGCAAAAAGCACTGCCTTTATGCTCAGAGGAGGCATGTTTTAAATTTTAAATTTTTGGGGAAGGGGAAGTCTTCACTGCAATAAAGCAGAGATATTGTTTCAAATGATCTTTAAATCACTGCCCCTACACACCACACTGCCAGGCAGGCTTGTTAGCTCAACGCCGCTGTATTTCACATCTAAGACACAGCAACATGATAGCTCTTGTCCTGCTTTGGGCTGAATAATTTTTGTTAAAAGACTATAATAGTTTCAGGATCTTTTTTTGCTGAAGATATTTCCACATCACAAAAATTATCAACGCATACAGATATTAAGTGATTCTTGTGGACAAGCTCAACAGAGGGAGCAAGGACTGAATAGGCCAAGATTATTGAAGAAACCTAGAAATAAACGTAGTCTGGAACACTTACTTGTAATGAAGGACCTTCCAGGTCAATATTGTGGTATAAGGTTGAGGTGGGTTTAGCTTGCAGTCCTTTAAATTCTTTGTGATGAGTCCTTCAAAGCCTAGCTCACCAGGCATGTAGACAATTCTGTAGACTTCACAGGGAAAAAGGAAATAAAGTCTTTTTATAAGCCCTTCTACTTGGTTTATGTTACTAATGATCATTTGAAGCTCTTCCTGTCCCTGAATTTTGGCCACCCATGACCAGCTTACAGTGTAAGATTTCTTTTTCATATGTCAGATCAACTTTGTATTGTAATGTAAATAGCAGAAGAGGCATCATTTTAGTTTCCAGTTTCATTTAATTGGTCGCCATTTGTATTTACAAGACAAATAGTCTCCAACATCAAAGCTGATCATGGTTTCTAACATCAAAGCTGATTATAGAATCATAAAATGATTAGGGTTGGAAGGGACCTTAAAGGCCATAATCTCATCTGCCATATCATGCTATGGGTGCATAATAAAGAAATCAATCTGTTATTTCTCTCAGTACCACTGGGAAAGCAATGGGGAAACTTTTTCTTCTTCTACTTTGTTTTTTCACCATTACGTTTCACTACCTGGTTTAACTTGTCTGCTCTCTTTAGTCTGAATTTACACCCCTTCTACACCCTTGTGTCCTCCATGCTCCCATATAACAGCTGAATTTTATGTTTCACTAATACAAAACCAACATGAAAAGCTAATCTCAGTTTTAGGACGTTGTGTGCTAATTATATTTTAAGGGATGTCTTTGAACATGAATCTCTTCTGCCTAACTCACAATCTGTTCTGAAGATGTCCTCTCTCCAGAGCTTGCAATGAGATAAATTGTAAACGTGTGTCAGCAAGCAGACTGAGAATCATTCACTCTTTATTACTGATCAACATCCTGCAGAGAGAAAAAAATTATCTACAGCCTTGTTGTCTAAGAATAGGCAAAGCCCCTGATGCAAGGAATGATGCTAATTCAAACTAAACCCACCTGAGAGCATGACTTGCCTTTTCTTCTATTTTTATTATTAAAAAAAAAAAATTTACAATGAAAAATTAAAGCCATAAAATTAAAAAAACTCTTTAAAATCTGGTATATTTCTCTTAAAAATACACAACAGCAGGTAACTACTTACTGAATCGGCATAAAATGAAAGCCATAGAACAGATCTGGTAGTTTTGATTTAGCTTGAACTGCCCTTCCTAATAGAGCAATATAGCATTGATAATCAAGGGTTTTATCAAAAAAACTGTAACATTTTCCAAGGTTTTCGTTAGTGATTTTCATCTCTGTTTGCATTGTATATAGAAATCTGAAACAAAGAAGAAAGTTTTGGGTTTTTTTTAAGTGAAATATACACTTCAACACAATTTTTGAAGGAAGAATCATTTTGCCTGCACTGCTACCAACTAACTACCCTCATCTCCACTGTGCTAATTTAATTTAGTTGGAGATCTAGCCCATTGCCTTTAAAAACATCCAAAGAATTTTCTTCTTGCAGATTTTCCTGTTTTCCAGAAATATTCTTCTTCATTATCCTATTTTAATATGCAATGTATGCAAATGAAACCAGGTTCAGGAAGTCTCCTGGTATGAAATAGTCTGGTAAGGAGAGCATTTGGGAAAAATTGAAAAATCACTTGTCTCATTCTTATTCTTCCCTAGGCAACTGCTGATGGCTGTTGCTGGATACAAAACTCTGACAGCCCTTGATCTGAACAGGTAGAGATCCCTATGTTTTCATTATATTATTAATATGAAATAGCTGCAAAAAAAGATTAATAGTACCTTCTAGGGCCTTGGAAAGGATGAAAACAGTGATGTGTGCCAAATATTTTGCTGCCAATATGTCTACCGATGTTGCATTCACTCCAGTCCAGGATGGAAAAAGGCTTTATGGTAAGATTTCTAGCACTTGCTCCTTTTAGTAGGAAGAGATTTGTAGCCCAGTTGTACATGAGACCTATTTCTAGAATGACAGATTCTGTTTCTGGGGAAAATTTGCAGTCCTTTACAGTATTTGTTTGAACCTCAATATTACTGGAGTACAAATATACATTTACTGAGGGCAGATCATCTTCAGAGTTAGTCTGAACATTGCCTTACTCTGTACAGCAAACACAAGAGAGGTGGCTAAGAGGGACACAAGATGTTTATACAGGGACAGACCTTACCTGGACCATATCTTCATAAAGATATGGTATATCGTATCTGTATTCCATATTCAGACCATGCCGCTTTTTTTTTCTTCTGAAGACATATCCTCACAGTTCTTTTCAGCAACATAGAAGTGACTTTTTTTGAGTGATCACAAGTCATGCACCACCTGAGCAACTCACAGTTGCGTTAGCAGTGTCCTGTGCAGTATCTGGCCTCTCAGGCAGGCTATGATGTGCCATGAGGCATCTGGAGTAAAAGTGCCTTTGTCCTGTTCGCAACACTTATTAGAAAAAGTCATAGGCCCTCCAAAACTTTTGAGTCCAAATGAACCTGTCTAAGGAAACATGCTTGCCTTATCAGTCAATTAGTGAGCTGCCTGATTAAAAAAATAGACCTCTTGCTATTTCTACCAGCCATCACTGCTCACATTCTTCTTTGCTTAACTTTAAGCCTCCCTGTTCTTCTTTAAAGGACTTGCCATGTTCTTATACCTAGAGTGCAGTTTGGATTAATGCATGCACCCAAGGGAGACTGTTGAGAGTGAGATTGCATCTCTCTGTGCAACAGTGAGTGGACAGAGTCTAAAACTGTATTTCTTTAATACAGACCAATGGATAATTCAGTTCTAATTCATATAATCATCCCTGAGAAACTAGCTTTTCACTTTTAAAACATCTTTTTATGTTTTGTTACCTTTTAGGTTAAAATCTAAAGCACAGAGGTAAAGAGACAGAGAAACCTGGTATCCTTAAAATTAATCTCTTTGTTAGAAATAACTTTTTCCCTGGTCTCACTTGACTTCTCTTGTTAGTATCTATTATATTCTTCCTAGCTTTTCTAACCTCAAACCTCCAGACCCACAGAAAAGACCAGGGAATGGCAAGACTGCAGCTATTTATAATACTAATTCATTCCCAGGCTCCACCGCAGAAGTTTTAATCATCAACCATTGTCAGGAATCAAGATCAAAAAGATTTGAGATTTGATTTGTTTGGGTTATAAAGAAGCCCTGAATGCCAAAGTGCTGTCGCTTAAGCTGCAAAGTACAGCCCCTGTGTGAAGTGGAATGAACTGGTATTGCCCTCTCTGATCTGATTTGTAGCCATCACAGCTCTTTAATGTTATTCGATTTGACATCAATTAGCCAGTTTTCACTAGGGAAAAGTCTCTTTTTGCATTTAGTCCAATATCAATGTCATTTTCCTCCTAGAATGTGACAAGGAGCAGACTGCTTCAGCATACTTTGCAACTGACACAAAGAATTGGATAAGGAGGAGAAGAAAGGCTTCACAAAAAGGAAAAGGAAGGGGGTGGGAAGACTGAGAAAACATTTTAACCCCATCTTCCCATTTATGAAGACATATATACAGAGAGAGAGAGAAAGATAGAGACATATGAGACATCCTGCTCAGCATGTATTGTTTATCAGTACACTTGCAAGTATTGCAGCTGCTGTAAGGATGCAGAGCACTTCAGATCCGTGTGTTCTTGGACGATAGCAACTCTGGTAACAAGAGAAGAGCATTTATAGAGCTTTAATCCCAGCTTTGTTTCATCTTTCTGTATTCTGCCTAGGACTTTGCAGAATGCCCAAGGATATATAGAGTTACTGGAACAAACTGCTGGTAAATGTGTTACTTGTACAATATTCTGAACCAACACACAAAAGTAAAATATTCCCAAAAGAAAAGAGACATAGCAAGTGCAAATTTCTAAACATTGAAACTGTAATGATGTATCACAACTGTCGTGTTTCCTACCTGTAGTTGGATGCAGCAACAAGATGGACACTGTACATTAATGAAGGGAGAGTAAAAATACTAAAATGTTCCTCTGTACATGCAAGAGCAGATGCATTTTGATGGAATAAACAGAGGCTTGCAAAACTAGGAGCTGAGACATCTGCAAGTCCCTGTAGGGAGATGCGAAATGGACACTTGAGGGGAGAGCAAAAAATGGGCAACATTGCAGAGGAACGCTTTGTGAGCTCTGGTCTCTTCAGAGAAAGGTATGCAGGATTTCAGAGTGGCTTTGTTTTCTCTCAAAAGGGAGATATACTAGGGAAAAGCTGCCTCAGGGACATCTAACATAATGATTTTTACCTGCATGCCCAGCCAGCTGCAGTATTTCTGGGCTGTACATGCAAGTCACAGCGGGTAATAGTACTCCACAGTTTAGATCCTTCCTCAGGGTGATGAACAAGCTAGTTATTGATCACTGCCTCTTTGCCAATAGCTTGTAGTATAAAATGTTAAAAAAGGGTGGAGGAATACTGTTATATATACTAAACTAGAGTTAAACCTTTTTATTTGCAGTCTCAAAAAAATAGATCTGCCACTGCACAACAACTCTCATTAGGAACGTCAAACAGGCTTAAACTAGGAAACTGCAATGGGCAAAGAGGGCTCCATTGCAGCTTTGGTGGAAAAGAAACCCAAGAATATCAGCCAGATGTAAAGGCATCTTTTGAAGCCAAGGTTGTCAACCTTAAAATGAGCTGCTACTTCTGAATCCTTAAAGCATATCCTATAAACCCACCTAGCTATGGAAGTATCGGTGGCAGTTAAAAAATTCCAGACTATATATTTTTGCCTTTTGGGAAAGAATATTTTGATGTTGGCAAGCACCATTCAAGATTCAGATCTCATCTATAGATTCATAGTGAAGCAGTGTAACATTTCTCTGTTGGAAGAAGGCAATGCCCCAGTCGTGAATGGTGTAAAAGTTTTTGGACAATGATCCACCTCTAAATTATTAATTATATCTTTTTTCCTAAATGACACATTGAGCCATAAGTGTTTCATGGGCTCGCAGGCTACATTTGTGACCATTTCATCCAGAAGACCTCTTCAAATCCTAAAAGTATGAGATCCAACTCCTTTATCAGCACTCAGTAAACACATGAAACTGAATTATTCCATGAGGGAGGTTCAGATAAGCAGTACAAAACTTGTTGGTATCAAACTTTGCATCCCTGTTTTTTCTACAACGATATAGTCTCCATTTTCTTATAACGAAGGAGCTGCAATGCAGAACAAATGCCTACAATGAGATTCCCATAACTGTGAGTCAATGAAAGCACAAAAAGGCTTGCTCTCTTGCCCAGCCCATAAAGGCAGCTTCCCAGCCGTGCTAATTAGAGCTATAGCAACAAGACTGCTTGTTGATTGTAAAACCACAGCCATATAGAACATCTTTGAAAATAACCCCAGATCTTTTCTGGGGATTGTCCACCCCACATACAGCCTAACCTTCTCCTCCATCAAACAATTAATATATGTTATGTTGTATGCAAGGCAACTTGTCAGGATGTATGATGTCATGAATCATATGATGGTCAAGTAAAAGATGGCTAAGGTAATAAGGTGCTTCCTCAGCATGGCAGGTAGGACCTTGAGACCACAACTGAAGGCTGCAGTGAGAGAAGGCAAAGTTTGGGTTAATTTTCCATTTGCCTATAACTCTCTCATGAGAACTCTTCTGACTTGTCCTACTTTCCTTGACATGTCTCAGCAGGGAATGAAAGGCATTGAAGAAATTTCCCCCTGTGCTCTGTACCTGAGCTCTTGCTGATCTCTGAAAACTTGGCAGAGCACATATCTGCCTTAGATGCTGGAGTTCCAAGGCACTGCCTTTTGCCTGAGCTACCACTTCTGTACTGTGAACCCGGGACAAGGACATTTTCCAGTCCAGTAGTTCTGTCCTGAAAGGTCTCAGTGCTGAGAACTCTTGCTAGAATGCTCTCTCTATAGGTTTTGTTTAGGAAGCTGTTAACTCACCCCTTTCCGTTTCTGAAACTGAGATTGAAGGGGGGTAAGTTTGTTTTGGAGAAGAGGCAATAGAATTGTTAATTTGGGCTTATAATTATTCACAGTTAGCTTATTTTTTTCTTTTTCCTCACTTCTTTAGTTATCAGATTCAATTACAAACCCAAATTACCAACCCTAATTTTTACTAAGAGTTATTCAGACATGAAAAAAAATGAAACTGAAGCAGCAGAAGGGTCAGGAAAGGCTGGATAACCTAGCAGGAGCTAAATCAATACCTGATAAAATTCTTCATCTGAAAGTCCATACTAAGCCTTATCCTGCATTTACAAACCTACACAGTTATCAGTAGATTAAAGTCAGTGGATTCTGAAGGAAGCTGCAATCACAGCTCTGACTGCAGGCCATCTTGACAGAGTGTTTAATTCAGAGACAGCTGCAACTCTCCTCTTCCAGCACCACCTCTCCTCTTACCGCTGAAATCCCATTTATGTAAAGTACCAGTTCAGCTGCATTGAAGTAACCGTCTGGTGAATCACGTTGTGCTCTGATCAGTCACTCAAGGAACTGATCCAGATTAAAAATAAACCTTAGAAAAGGGGTAAAGGAAGGAATGGTTATTTAAAACCAGCTAAACTCTGTGATCTAGAGAGACCCTTAAAGGATCACAATGAAGACAGCCATGTGGGAGCAGAAATGCATGGCTAAGGGTGGGAATAAGGTGACAAGGTGGAGCTTAAGTGAAGAACAGGGGGCCTGGGTGCTTAAAGGTGGAAGAGGGGGATAGCTGAAATC